ACATGAGAAAGTTCTGAAAAAAAGGAATCCAAAATGACAATGGGAGAGAAACATGGGAGATCTCTTTATTGTCTTGCTGTAATCTCTTGCAAGGCTCCATTACAAAAATGTTTTACTGCTCAGAGGTTGCTGTTGCTTTTTTTATTGCAATGGGTTTTTTCAGCTTTAATGGTCAGGACAGTAGGAGTAGAGACTGGAAACAATTAGACATGTGAGAATTGAACAGGAGCAGGAAAGTACCCAGTCAACACGTGAGATCATGCGATGATCACAGTGACATCACACGATCCTCATACTGTGATCCTCACGGTGTGAGTAGTATATAAGGAATTGCTATTCACATATGCTAATATGATATTATAGACTAGACTACATTACTACCTCGGGATCAAATTTCAGTAACTATACATTACATGTTTGTGATATTACTGACCAATATTAGAGAAATTTTAGATCACAGTTAAAAGAATGAGTTTAACACAATGATATGACAGTGGTCTCACATGGTGAGCTCACAGTATGAGCGCACAGTGAGTGTGCAGTGACCACAGTATGAGCACACAGTGAGTGCGCTGTGACCTCACATTGGGAACATAGTATGAGCACACAGTGAGTGCGCTGTGACCTCACATTGGGAACATAGTATGAGCACACAGTGAGTGCGCTGTGTGGTTACACTTTTAGCTCACTGTGACACACACATTGTGACCACACCATGAGAATCGTGTGAGCTCATGGTGAGATCAAATTGTTGACTGGGATATATTCGAGTGTTGAGTGAAGACAAAGTGCACTGCTCCTTTGTCATTGACAAGGCAAGGGTTGCACCCACCAAAATTGTAACTATACCTAGGCTTGAGTTAACATCTGCGGTGATCTCTTCAGCGGTCAGTAGCATGTTAAAGGAGGAGCTGGAGCTCGAAATTGACCAAGAATATTTTTGGACCGATTCAAAGGTAGTCTTAGGCTACATTAACAATGAAGCCCGTAGGTTTCACGTTTTCGTAGCGAATCGAGTCCAAAGAATCAGAGAAACGACTGACCCTGCACAGTGGCATTATATAGACACTGAACAAAATCCTGCAGATCACGCTTCCAGGGGCCTCAAGGTGTCAGAGTTGATCAGTTCGAATTGACTCACTGGACCCAAGTTTCTCTGGGAAAGAGAAATTGTCACATAAAAGACAACCCCAGAGCTTCTGGTTGGCGATCCTGAAATCAAGGCAATGCAAGTGCTACAAACAAAGGTAGCAAATGATGACAATTTTTTGGAGAGGTTTAATCGGTTTTCGAAATGGCACACTGCATCGCTCGAATCCAGCAATTAGCGAGAGACAAGGCAGTTAAACCCATAAATGTCGAAGACACGAGAAATGCCAGCATCAGGCTTGTAAAATTGGCATAAAGGGATGCCTTCAAAGATGAGATACAACTACTGAGACATGGCAAATTGCCACATAGTCATCCGTTGTTCCAACTTGACCCAGTACTGCAAGATGGTACTGTTCTCAGGGTGGGAGGGCGATTGAAGAAACCTTCCTTACCTCTTGACTCGAAGCACCCAGTAGTCCTTCCAAGACATGGTGTGGTCACCCGTCTTATTGTGGATTGCTGCCATGAAAAGACTCAGCACCAAGGCAGAGGACAGACCCTTAATGAATTGAGAGCAAATGGTTACTGGGTAGTTGGTGGCAGCAAAGTTGTGGCGAACCACATTAAGCAGTGTATTACATGCAGGAGAGCTCGCAGGCCAACAGAGACAGAGATGATGGCTGATCTACCTACTAACCGTGTTGACCCGTCTCCACCATTCTAATACTGTGGGATGATTTGCTTTGGGACATTTCTCTGTAAGCAAGGACGGAAAGAGCATAAGAGATATGGTCTTATATTCACCTGCTTCTCCTCAAGAGCAATCCACATAGAGATGCTAGAAGATCTCACTACTGATGCCTTCATAAATGCCTTGCGATGTTTTATAGCAATCCGGGGAAGAGAAATCAGATCTAATCAAGGGACAAATTTTGTTGGGGCGAAAGACGAGCCGACAAAGGCTTTGGAAGAATTGGACAAGGAGAGATTAAGGGTGCTTTCACACTTGGTTCGATTGCTTGGTCCGAACCCGAGTTCGATTGCTCCCCCCTCCCCCTGCTGGACTGTGTTCACATTATATTATTTAGGTCCGAACCGCGGTTCATTTGCATCATCAAGCCAGCAGCTGTTTACCCCGTTGCTTAGTAACTATGGCACAGGAGAAGACGGCAAAATGCATAGCATTGCTCTCTTCAATTTTATATTTATGCTTTTGAACCATTGGTTTTGTTTCCAAAGCTTCAGTACATAACGGCACTTACGGCCTTATGCAAATGCGCTAAAGAACTCTGAAGGCGAACAGAAATGAGATATACAGCTCTCTGTTTGCAGCGCGTCAGGAAAGTGAGTGAAACACACAAACAAACACACATTTTTATCAAATAATACCTCATTAATAGCGGTTCACTTCCGCAATTTGGTACGATTACGTTCTTCACTTCCGTGATTTGGTACGATTGCGTACACATCAGCAGCGAACCGTACCCCAGACTACCCTTTTTAAGCGGACTTGGGTACGGTTCGTGGGCGCGCACCCGAGTTCGGAAGACAGCGTTCACATCATCCAAACGTACCGAACTCTGACGTCAATCGAACCTGGGTGCGCACCAAAAGTGCTAGTGTGAAAGCACCCTAACTGCTTACCTATCTCAGAAGAAATGTGACTTCATTTTGAACGTACCTGATGCCAGTCACATGGGAGGGGTTTGGGAAAGGCAGATCAGAACAATTAGAAGCGTTCTAAGTTGGGTCCTTTCTCAGAGTGCAGGAAGATTGGATGATGCCTCCTTGAGAACTTTCTTCTATGAAGCCAATTCAATCATAAATAGTCGCCCACTCACCACAGATAACATCAATGATCCCAAGGGGCTAGAGCCACTTACCCCAAACCATTTACTCACCATGAAATCCTCTGTCCCTCTGCCTCCACCTGGGAAATTTGCGCCAGAGGACCTGTATGCGAGGAAAAGGTGGCGCAGAGTACAATATCTGACACAGCAATTTTGGAGTAGATGGAGGAAGGAATATCTGGCAAACATCACCCTTAGACAACGGTGGCACTCTCCAAGACGAAATGTAAAGATTGGAGATATTGTCATTGTCAAGGAGGAAGAGCTTCCCTGCAATGAATGGAGACTTGGACGAGTGCTCGATGTTTGTGCAGATGAAGACGGACTGGTGCGAAAGGCCAAAATTCAAATAGGAAATAGGAAGTTAGGGAAAAAGGGTCAACGACTGACTAATCCATCAATTCTTGAATGTCCTATTCATAAATTAGTGGTACTTGTAGAGAACAATTAAATCTGATGTATTGTCTAATCTTGAGACTTTTAAGTGTCACAAGTTCATCTGGTAGTCTTGAACCAAGAGTCAGAGATATATGGTTCTAATATTTGGTTTGTGAAATTACTAAATTCATTCAAACATTTACATAAAGTTCATCATAAATTATAGTAATTTGGTGGGAGTGTAACTGTCAAAGACATGTTTTCAAAGAGATGTGCATATTTATGTTTCTGTTAAAAATTCATATAAATTTAAGTCTAGGGTTGGGTACCGAACTAGATACTTTTAAGGGTACCGACCGAATTGTGTCGGTACTACCGAGTACCAATTCACGTTAAATCAATCGCTGCCAAATTTCGGTACCTGAGAATGCATCTGGGCGCATACGCTACAGAGAGAGAAAGAGAAACCCTGTGACGTGAGGTCACCCCTGCAACTCATTCAAACAACACGCAGGGCAAGCCGAAATGTTCTGAAGTGTGGTTACATTTCTAGGGCCATATGGTTTCTGCGAAAACACGGACGGGATCATGGAGTCCATTCATAAAAACTTAATTTACTCTATAGCGTGGAATGCCACGGAATTTGTCAATTTTGGACGAATAAATCAAAAGTAGCCACTGCCACTTAATTCGAATCGCGATATGAACTAGTGTCTGTGAATATTAAAATGCAAAAAGATGGTTTAAATAGGAATCCTGCTTGTTCCGCTTGCCTCTGTATGTATGAATGGCGGAAACGCGTTTTTTTTACTACACAAATACTGAAGCACACGTGACGCTCGCGGTGATTTTCGGCCTCTGTGTCTCACTATATGACGGCATGAACACAAAAGCTTGAAGGGGTCATATGATGCGATTTCAATTTTTCCTTTCTCTTTGGAGCCAGAGCTGCTGTGAGAGTCACTTCACGAGAATTTAACCGTTTCATTTGAGAAAACTAGCATCATCATACTGTATATACACAGAAACTTCATGGCAACCTGTCAAAATAAAAGTACGGTTTAACATGTAACAGAAATATATTACTCTTGTATTACTTTTGTACAGTATAATGTACATCTTTAAATATTCAATTTTCTATCAAATGTAAATAAAACAATTAAATGATAAAAATAAATATTACAACCAGATTAATCACTCAATTGTAGAAAAAATAATAATACAATTATTAGCCTATTAAAAAATGTTTTAAAGGAATATTCACACAATTTTTCTTCCATGTATTCATTTCAACAGTAAACCTCAGTTTGTTTGCCAAAAAATAAAAGGGTTAAATTTTCATTTGATTTAAAATAAATGTTTAATGCCTTCATTTGATTTTCAGAAAAAATAACACAAGAATTTCTGGGGGAAAAAAAAAAAAGAAAAAGAAAGAAAGAAAAAGTTTGTAGGGCCCTATTGTTCAAAATGTTGAAATTGAGACTTTTGGACTTATTTTTTCACTGAAATAAATGTTTTTGTAATTACACAGAGAGTAAAGTACCCAAAAAAGGTACCGTTGGGTACCGGCACCGATACCGGTACCGTACCGGTTCAAATGTGAACGGTACCCAACCCTAATTGAAGCGTAACAGGTCATATGATCAGGTTGAGTTGAACGCGGGACTATTGCATTATGGGTTGAACTAACATGGATGCAGAGAAACACTAATGGTATGCAGAGCCTGAAAAAGAGTACCTTTATCTGCATGGTCTAAGAGGGCCCACACGGTAATTCATCTTTAAATCTGTTGCATTTTGTGTATAATGTTGTTTTACATCAGTTTACTTAAACGATGTTATGTGTAAATAATGATGTCATTGGATTCGGATTTGTCGCATGTGTTCACTGCGTATCAGCGGACATTTACATGAGAGACTTGAAAAGGACTCGGCTAAATGCATATTTGAACATTATATGCTTTATTTCTTGTAGTTTTCACGGTGTCCGCTGACAAGAGAGAGAGACAGAGAGACAAATAAACAGCAAAAAGACATCTGTATGAAACGTGGCTATCATTTCATTTGACCAGTGCAGCTACACCGGAAGTATTGCCAGGTATGACTGTGTGTGTGTGTGTGTGTGTGTGTGTGTGTGTGTGTTGGGTGACCAGATTTCTTATGGTTCAAAGTGTGAAATATTACCACGATACGAGAAATTTTATTTAATGATATCTAAATTTGACGTGTGTGTGTATTTGACAATTAAGGCACAAGGAGAACTTTGATCGCAGAACTGGGATCGCGCGGGCGAGAGAGCGTTTCTGTTGTGGGTCATTCAGCGTGATTCCGCCTTCACTTACTGCACGTTAGGCGATAACGAATTGTGATTGGATGGTAATGTTGTTCTACGACAAGCTTTTTAGTGTTCTATCACGCGAGAACAGAACAGCCTAATCAAAGGTAACTACTCGCCTTGCTCACCCAGTCGTAAAGAAATCTTGAAATACGGGACAAAATATGATTTTTTTTCTAAATAAGTCGGGACACTAAAAATAAAGCTGAAATACGGGACGTCTGGTCACCCTAGTGTGTGTGTGTATGGAGCTGAGTCATTTTGAATACTTAAATGACAATTTGTTTTTGCTTTTTGTAAGTCTCTTAAATTGACTAAAACTTCCGAATGTGCTGTTTTTAATAAAGTTCATTCTCTAGTATCTGTCAGCAAATTTACCTGTTATTTGCATATATTTCATTATATTTAATATATTCAATCTTATTTTATAGTTGAAGATAATTTTCAGTTCCCTAATTATAGTCTTAAACAATATAAGCCTGTATCCACCTTTTTTTCCATAAGAACGGGCTCGGCCATTAGTAAATTATGGGTCTGGCTTCCAGTCTCATTCGCATCCAGCTATTTTTCGCTGTACAAAACAGCTCGTTTTGCTGCTTGATATTGCAGATTGGTGTGATTTACCATATTATTTTGACGACTTTGTTGATTGTTTTGTTTATATTTCTAACCAGGAATAATTAGGCTAAAGTAGTAATGTAATGCTGTGTTCACGCCATATCGTAATTACCGTAATTTCGAGATGACAGCACGTGACGTTCTACTCGGAGCTGTTGACATCCTCGGACTCGGAATTATGCTGTTCAATGGCAACACTATCAACGCCTAAACATAGGCTGCGGTGGTCAGGTGGTACAAGTCGTAGCACTCAGAAAACTCCCAGTTCACAAGTTGTAATTACGAATTCTACGAGGACGTGAAAGCTTTTTAGAAGTTGGAATCTCATAATTACGGGAATTCCGATATGGCGTGAACGCACCTTAATATGTATGTTTTGTCAAAAAACTTGAAATGTATCTGTTGTGTGACTATCTTGAACTGCAATTTAGGAAATTCTGTATCCTGTTACTGTGATTTGGTTATTGTAATTGTGATTTATTGTTATTGATTGATTGATTGTCACCTGAACTAGGTCCCACTAGAAAAACAGAGAAACCAGTTTTGAAGTGCTGGAGGTGTGCAGTTCATGAAGTAAGCACAAGGTAGCAGTGTAAACCTGTGTGTGAGTCAGATTCTTATTCACAGCTGTTTCATGCACGCTCTCCTGACTGTAGCATCTCTGCATTTACTCCCCATGTGCGTGCAACTGACGCTTAAGAAAGCACCTGTTTTTTATTAGAGCGGTAATCCAACTCCAGTCCCTCTTAAGGAAGCAGAGGAGAGAGAGAGGTGAAAGGGTGAGTGATGCAAACACTGTGGGCCAGGCGCATATTTGGTGGAAGTGTGTTTTTGCTTAAAGACCAGATCGCAATCTAATTGTTTGTTATTCAAGGCAAACAAACCGGTGCACATGCACCTTGATGGCAGTGCAGGTTGAGGCTTGAGAAACACTCAGTTTAGAAAAAAGGACATCATCTGGACGGAGGAATGTGAGCAGAATACAGTCAAGTCCTTGTCGTTTCCCATAAGCATCATTCATGACACGTGGTGCTAGGGCTGGATGATATGGCCAGAATTTATATCACGATATATTTCTTAATTTCGGTCGATACGATATAATTCCGATATCGATATGAACACTATTAAAAAAGCCTCATAAAAACGGCCAAGAACGGCCACAACAGATGTCTGTACCTACAAACTTAAGAAAAATTAATTTGCCAACTCGATGAAACCTACTCCTATAAAACTATATAATATTTTAGGAAAAAAATGGCGCAAATAAATAAATGTTCAACTTTTATTGGTATTTAGCCTTCATACAAACAAGAAATGTGAAATCACTGTCAAATAAATCTCAGACTCTCCTTATTAATATTAATATTAATATTTTTTACTTCAAACTATAGGCTAACATACCAGTCAAAAGTTTTTGAACAGTAAGATTTTTAATGTTTTTTAAAGAATTCTCTTCTGCTCACCAAGCCTGCATTTATTTGATCCAAAATACAACAAAAACAGTAACATTTTGAAATATTTTTACTATTTAAAATAACTGTTTTCTATTTGAAAATATAATTTATTCCTGTGATTTCAAAGCAGAGCTTTAGCATCATTACTCCAGTCACACAATCCTTCAGAAATCATTCTAATATTC